ACACAAATATGATTTACCAGAAGGCAAGTTAATCGGATCCAACCAAGCCTGAATCACCAATAATAAAACGAATTCAACTTGTTTTTACAAACAACTAATATTGAAAATTAATCGAAGGAAGAAGAATTAGAATGCGAAGATACAGGAGTTCCTCCAGCTTTGCTCGGGAATAGATGGCGCAGAAGTGACCATTCATGTTCCGGTTTTTCGACAAAACCTAAGCCGACGGGCGCTTCTTCTTCATCTACATCTCCATCTCCACCGTCTTCATCAATTCGCATACTGGTGAACTGAACTAAGGAATCACTATTCCCATTGTTGCTTGATTCTCTGGACATATTGGAATCAATACGTTCTGTTGAATTTCTGATTTTTCGGAAAGCAAATTTTGATTTGCACCGCTGGGTTTTTGGGAAAAAAATTAAAGAGGGTTTAGGGTTTTGCAACTGATATAACTTAAAAGAGGAAAAAAGATAAAAAATTTATTTTTTATGTTTGGTCCTCCTCGTAAAGAACTTTCAAGCCTTCACCGAATTTAAAACCGTTTTTACAAAACAGTCTTAAATGTTAACTTTGTTAGCATTTAACATCGAGTTCGTGTAATACTAGCTGGGCCAAATGGCCTTGGGCCTGTATGATATTCTCATAAAATTAACTCCAAATCCAGTTCATGATAAAGAAATTTTGCTCCAAAAAACGTACGTTATTGGCCTCACCCAATAACGTTATTTATTATTATTATTTTTACATTAGATTAAATAAAAAAAACATAAATTTTAATACAAATAAATATTTTACTAATAAAAAAAATACATTAAAAGTTTAAACTTAAAAATTCAAACCTACATTTCAAATTGAAATACATAAAAATTAAAACTTAGAAATTTAAACATATATCACTAATAAAAAAAAACTAATAAAAAAACACAAAGAAATCAAAACATAAAAATTAATCGTCGTATTTTTGGATGATATTGTGTTGAAATTTTAAAAATGTAGCTAGATTTTTCTGTTGTGGCTGTGTGTTCAAAATTTTAGATCGTTAAGTGTTATTTTTTGGTTAAGAGCTTCCTCCGTTTTTTCCTTCTTTTTTCCGAGAAAAAATAGATGTTTGTCTATTTTTTCCGAAAGTACTTCTTCAGTATTCGTTTTTTCGGATGACGATGTTGCCCGTTTCCCTTTGTCCCTTCCATGTGGTCGACGAAGGTGGACTTCCGGTGGACCCTCCCCCTCGGTGTCGTCGAAGTCGTCATTGAGGTCAATGACAAAACCCACATCTGACTCAAATGTTCCCGACCTTTTGTTGGATTTGGTGATCAATTTTGAATGTGCTTCGTATTAAGGACCCATTTTTGGACCGTCATGACAAATTAGCCACATTTTTTTGGAGGTCGAACGGTTTACCGTCGTTGCCAAACTAGTATTGGTAGCACACGGTTGATAAAAATATTGAAATCGTTGCTACAATTTTTGTGCATATTTTTAAGATTTTCAAATATGTCATTAAATTCGATGCAAGTGGCTCGTAGTTCACATCATTTTCCATTGATTGCACTCTACGTCTGATATGGGGGTTTTCCTAATTCCACGTGAAAGTTGTCTAAAACATGATTCCAAAAACTTTGTCCCGATTGCATGTTGTCGGTTTGGTTATCTTCCGATATGAACATCTAAACTTTCACTAACACCGCATCCTCTTCTTCGGTCCAACCCGAGTATATTTTTTTTTTACTATTTTCTTTCTTTTGTCTTCTTCTAGGTGGTGGTTGACGATGATGACGACGAAAGGGTCCAAGAAACTCGAGGTTTGTAGGTTGAGATTGAGAAAATGAGACTCGAGTTTGAGGTTGAGATGGTAGTGCTTAAAATTATTGAGGTTAAGATGGTTGTGTTTGACTTTGTTAAGGTTCAGAAGGTTGTTGAAAAGCTTGGAATTAGGAATAATTGAATTGTTGTGGTATAGGTTGTTTGAAATAGTTTGGGGTATTGATGGTTGGTGAATAAATGTTGTTGAGTTGGGGATGTTCACATTTAAATGTAAATAACAACATGTGAGTATGGATCATTTGGAGTTTTAGGGTGTTTGGAGTTATTTCGATTTAGATCCATAATTTGAAGAAAATATAAGGATATAGAAAGAAATTGATGTGTTTGTGGTGTGAATGTGTATATAATATTTGGTATTTATAGGTAAAAGGTGGTATGGTTTAAACATAAAAATTAAATAATTCTTTTTAATACATCAACAGATATATAACAACGGTTGACTTGGTTGTCGTTTTGAGCCAACCAATCACATTCTTCCTGAACTTCCGTGAAGCTAGCCAAACCACAACACATTTACGCCCCTTTGGGTCGATGTTCACGTGTGGGAAAGTCCGCCATGTCGGCTTTGACACGTAAGAACACCCTCCATATCGGGCAGCCTTAGTTTGCATATTTTGACCGCCAAAAATATATAACAGACAATTATAGTATTTTGGTTTGATTTATGAAGGATGTCAATGACGATGGCTAGGGATGAGCATCAGTTTGAACCAAACTGAGAACCGATTTAGTAGAAAATGGAGAACCGGGAACCGGTTCTGGTTCAGTTTTGTTTAACAAGTGTGTTCTTTAGGGATGTCTTCGGTCTGGACCAGCCGAACCTGACCAAGAACCGGTTCGGTTCAGCTCTGTTCTACCCAAGTTTCGGTTCCGAATTTTTTTCGGTCCGGTCCGATTATATCCGATTAACAATGTTTATGGACCATCTTTATAAATCATTCAGAAGATTACGCGCAAAAAAATAAGATAATTATGAAACCAACATCATATTCTTGTTAATTGGCAAAAATAAAGTAGTGAAATTGTCAAAGTAAAGATGAAACCATGGTATAGCCTTTTTTGAACGGATCAAATGCTTTATATTAAAAAGCTAGCAAGTAACTAGTAAAAAAATAAAACAGAGGAAATTACATAACGGGGTTTTTTGACCACATAGTCTGAACTATACTTTCGAGAATTCGAGGCCTAAAAAATATAAAGTGTAAAAAATGCTAGTCCAATAACATAAAGAAAATTAGCCCAATAGCTCAAATGCATTGTGAGTTTGTGGCCCAAGTTGTTTATTAAGCTTTTAACCCAATTGACCCACATACCCACCCATTACCCAATATCCATTGACAGTCAAAGAAAAGAAGCAGGAAATCGATCCACTGCTGAAAAGAAAAAAAAATCGGCACTTCAGCACCTTCTGTGAAAGCTGTGAACGAGAAAAAAAAATCGGTCTCCGCCTTCCTGCCTCCCTTCAATCGATTACAACCAAGTTAGCAAGGCATAAGTATTTCGATTTTGCTTGGATTGGCTTGACACTCCTTTCAAACCTACAAATACAATGAAACAAGTAAGTATTGATAATTTTAGGCTTATGAAATTAATCAAATTAGTTGTTTTTTTGTTGAAATTTCTTATTGTTTAGGTGAAATTAGTAGTTCTTAACCTTGAAATTACTTGTTTACTTGTATCTTGTTAGAATGTTAGATACTTAGATTGTTAACCTTGAAATTATTCAAATTAGTTTCTTTTCCATTGAGTTTTTTAATAATTGGATGGCTTATTTGTTTGATATTGAATTGTTACACCTCACGAACGTATTGTCAAAGCATCTTCAAAAAAAAGATCAAGATATTTTAGAAGCGACTTCTTTGGTTAAAGAGACAATGGACGCATTGAAGTCTTTGAGAGACACGGGGTTTGCTAAACTTTTATCGAAGGTATTCTCTTTTTGTCAAAAACATGATATTAATATTGTGGAGATGACGGAAAATTATGTCACATCAAGAGGCCGTAAGACTAAAGTTACTAATCAATTTCATTTTGAAGTTGAAATTTTCAACACCGTTATGGATATGCAAATTATAGAATCCGGGAACCGATTTAGTGAACTTAGCACCCAATTACTAGAATACATGGGGGCTTTGAGTCTTTGTTATTCATTTGCTAAATTTGAAAAAACAAAGTTGTTAAAGTTGAGTGAGTTATACAAAAAAGATTTTGATGATGCGGAGAGGATACAACTTGATGGTGAACTTGAAATATATTATCACGCTTTACATAAAGATGACCGGTTCACTAGTTTGCAAGGAATTTCCGACATTTCTCGTTTGATGGTGGAAACGGGAAAACATCGGTCTTATCCTATGGTTTATAGGTTGTTGAAGTTGGTTTTGGCTTTACCCGTTGCAAACGCAACAGTCGAAAGATGTTTTTTCAGCGATGAAGTTGTTGAAGACGGATTTGCGTAACAAAATAGGTGATGATTTTTTGAACGATGTCATGATTTCTTATATTGAAAAAGAAGCACTTATGAAAGTGAAGATCGAAGATGTAATGGGTTGGTTTCAAAAAATATGTACCCGTAAATGTGAAATTTAAATATTAAGATGTAATGGATGGGTTTGATGTATTAGTACTTTTAATTTTTTTTTTTTATGTTATTATATTCGGACGAAAAAAAATTATGTCACTGCTATGACAACTTTCTGTGTCCGCCACCGCAAACAACGCCTTAGTTTAATTCTATAAAAGGATCTCAGAACTTTCTAATTTACTTCGTTAACAATTTTGACTTTTGAGACAATATAACTATTAAATATTTTAATTTCTTTTTAATATAATATCCCTTATATTGTTAAAATTAGAATCTAGTAGTTTGATCGGCTTAACAGTTTTTATAAAGCACAGAACCAGAAGTTAACGAAAATCACCAACTTTTCTTTAACAGAAACCGAACCACATTGCAATTTGCACATGTAACCATTTTCTTCAATTTGATTCTTGATTCGTTTTGATTTCATCTTGATTACAAATTCCAAACCAAACCAAATCACATTGACAAATTATAGGGTTCTTCAACATTGACAAGAAAAGTATCGCATGAATTATAGGGTTCTATTTTATGTCCAAAACCACTGTAGCAAACAGATACAAGCAACTGGTATAATTGCCCCATTTACAACAACTGTTTCACTTTCACAGTTCATTAAAGCCCAATAAAAAAAACAAAAAAAAAAAAAACGTGGTTAAGCCCTCTCATCACTCTCACTCACTCTCTATGTGGGAAAAAAAATCAAAAAAATCAAAGAAATCGGAACTGTTACTTTACTTACGGACTTACCCCCTTTGACTACTTTCTTGTCCCAGCCTTCCTTTTCATTTCAGCACCGGCGACAGCTCCCTGCCTCCCACCTCGCTGCGGAGCCTGAGCCTGAGCCTGACCGGTCGGTTTCCGCGACGGAGACGGCCCAAGTCTCGGAATCATTGACCTACAATACAATACACAACCACGAATGTTTGACTTGTTAGAAACAGACGTTGTGGTTAAGAATAAAATTTACTAAAAAATTAACAAAGTACCTGAGATCTGGGCTCTTTGTTGGTTTTCCGTTGGAATTATTAAGCCTTGAGACGGTGGAATTGGGCAAGTTCGAGAGTTTTGAATGATTGAACTGCCAAAGAAGATCCGGCTCAGATGAGTCGCTGGTGGCGGCGTCCAGTTCATGTTCATCGGCACCATCAGTAGTCGCGATCTCAAAACCATTTACACCTTGGAATCCGATATTATAAGATTGGTAAAGTCCACCGTTATTTTCTGCTTCCCAACATCGTGCTGCTGCTGCTGCTGCTGCTGCAGCTGCGTCTTGCTTGTTAACCATGACTTTATCAACCCAGTCAGCAGACCCCATCATGTCTCTATCATCTTCTTCTCCATATGTCGTCTCACAAGGGCTACTGCTTATTACTGGAGGCCATGGAGGTGAGTTTGCCAACAGTTCATCCAAATCGAAGCTTTGTGTCTTCTGCCTCGACCTACTTTTTTTATCCATCTATAAAGATACAAATCCATCCACTTTCAGATTCATAAAATGATTCTTTAATCTTATTGTGTTTCGTTACAACTCATTGATTACCTCAAAGCTGGGTACTACGACATCTGTTTGTGGTTTTCTACGAGCCTTGGGTTCAGTGTAGGAATCTCCGTTTAAGTAAGGAGGAGAACGTGATGATAGCTGCTTGCCACCTGGACTTCCAGATACTTTCTGTTCCTGATCCCCTTCCTTCTTTGCAAGAGCCGCCTTAAGATTTGCAATCTGACGTGGAAAATAGTTTAAATATATAAACTCCATAAAAAAAAAAAAAAAAAAAAAAAAAAGGTTGAGAAAATGTGATTTTACCTGTTCTTTGAGGTCTTTCACATCTGAAGTAGTATCTTTATGTACTTGAGCAGCACCGAGTTCAACAGTTGCAACTCGCTCAGCAAACTTAAGTGTACTAAGTGTTTCACCAACAGCATTCAATTCGGGGCTTATGTGAACAAACATCAATGTCTTTGCTTGTCCTCCTGGACCAAATTTTATAATTTAAATTTGGGAATGAAAGCTTTATTCATAAAGATGATGTTTTGTTTTGTTTTGTTTTGTTTTGTTTTGTTTTGCGTACCAAGTGAATCTTGAAGTAATTGCGTGAGTTTGCTGTTTCTGTAAGGCACATGTGCGTTCTTTTGAGCAAGTGAAGAAATGACATCGCCTAATGCTGAAAGAGATTTATTGATATGTTGTGCCTCTTTTAATCTATCTCCAGCCACTTCAGATTTGTCTACTCTTTCACTTCCTGCTAAATCAACCAAATGCATACAACCACGTAGAACAGCTCCAGATGTTAGGTCTCTCCCTTGGACATGTACAGTCAAACAGCTGCAATTAATCAAAATTTTAAATAATCAGATTAATATAATACTTATTACATATAATACTTTTGTGTGTATATTGGTTAAAATAGCAAACCTGTGAGAGCGACTACTACGGTCATTTAGAGCAGTTGCACCAACAACACGATTTTTGTGCCCTAATTTCATCAGATCAATGACATCATACATTGATGCCACGTGGACCAGGCTAGCATCTGGAACATTGAATCCATTCTGTGAATTGTTACGAATTTCTAATGTAATATCAGATTAAGGAACCCGAAAATGAAAATGTTTATTATTATTATTTAATTTCGGTGCAAACATTTCATTTAATGAGATGAGAAAATTTATTGAATGAAAGGATATCTTTTGTTTAAACCCTCAGTAACGAGGAGATCCCGAACTTGCTCGTTATAAATCTCAATCATTTGAACAGAGACATCGTATTGAAGGGTATCCTTCCTTTGTTCAGCAATAAAAAACAAGTCACTCAATGCTCGATAGTTGACTCCTTGACTTGTCTCTGTAAGATCCTTTGGTCCAGTCTGGATGAATAGCAAACAAAAGGATTATAAATATTTGAGTAAATTACACGAATTGTCCCTATGGTTTGGGGTAATTTGCACGTTTGGTCCCTAACTTATTTTTTTAACTCGGAAGGTCCCTACAATTTGTTTTTGTTGCGCGCTTGTTCCCTGTCTTACCTAAAACCCTTGATTTTTTAATTTATTTAAATAAAGTGGGGTAGATAAGGTAAGGCGAGGTGGAAGTGGGGTTGAGGGTATGTTTATTTAAATAAATTAAAAAATCAAGGGCAAAATAGTCTTTTTAGGTAAGATAGGGACCAAGCGCGCAACAAAAACAAACTGTAGGGACCTTCCAAGTTAAAAAAATAAGTTAGGGACCAAACATGCAAATTACCCCAAACCATAGGGACCATTCGTGTAATTTACTCTAAATATTTTGCATGAGATACAATCTTGTACTATAATTTATAGAAATTAGAAAGTATGTTACCATTGTATGTGTTTTTCCGGATCCTGTTTGACCATATGCAAAGATACAGACATTGTAACCATCGAGAACAGATCGAATTAAGGGTCGAGTATCTGCAAACACCTCAGCTGCAAAAAGTATATAGCAAATAATTAATTACAAAAAAAAAAATGTAGAATTGAGAGACCAATAGAAGAAGGAAGATCTACAAACCTTGGGTTGATGAGGGACCAAATACTTTGTTGAAGTTAAATGATCGAGATCCTTTTCCGTATTTTGCAGGGGTATTAATGGTAATTGTTCCTTCTTCAATGCTATCCACGACACTCTTGAAATCCGAGCGTCCTCCTAAGGAGGGTCTCACCCGACAATAAACTCTAATATTTCCTATTTAAAGAAAATAAATCAGTTAAATGAAAAGTAGGTCATATAAGCAAAACACATTCAAGAAACTGGCAATGTCACCTTTAAGATCTTGGACCTGATTATATAGCTTTCGGTTTTCCTCAAGAACTCTATGATACCCTGAAGCAGCACTAGCTAGACCATGAATATGCAGACCTAAAACAACAAGATTTTAGAATGATGATAGAATGGAAAAAAGAGAGAGAGAGAGAGAGAGAGAGAGAGAGAGAGAGAGAGAGGAAATTGTTGAAAAATCTACCAAGATTCTGAATCTCCTCATGGAATTTCATTTGCATGAACTGCATCCCAGCTTTTGTGATTGTAAGAGTTTGTTTCAGCTCCTGTGAAACCAAGAGATGCCAAGAATTTTATCAAAAGTTTACATAATAAAAGTGATAGAATCTGCATTACAATATATATAGATCATACCTTGATATCTCTTTCCTGCCCATCAAAAGCCGTTTGTAGTTTCAGCTGTTTTCTTTTCGTTTCTTCATCAGAGATCGAGTTCTTATGAAGATTTTGATCTTTCGCAAGCTTTTTGTCTTCTGTCTTGAACTTTATTGAGAAAAGAAAAGAAAATGTCAAATTTTGATATTCACACCACATAGAAGACAGATAAAAGATATAATCTGATCACCTTTATATCATCAGAAGTAGTTTTTAAAAGAGTCCTGTTTCCATTAGGGATATCTTTAGCAGCTGCGAGTTTCTGGTGATCAAGAATATACAAAATGTCAAGCAAGTATGATTGATTGTAAGACAACTTTGCAGTAATTATAACATATCTAAGAAGCTTTACCAATTCAACTTGACTAGTGATACGATTCTCAAACTCTTCCATGACCTTACTTAGCACAGATTCTACAAGCTGCAAAAGCAGAATAGTATCATAGAAAACATGAGAAATCAGTTGCTGTGGTGACACAAACTTGCAAAGCACTAAATTACACTTACCATGGGAACCTCATCAGGTTTTTTATCCAATAGAACTGCACGGACAAGCATGTTTAATGATGAATTAGGCTGCATTGAAGATTACAGTAAGTATCAAGAATGTCCATTTGATTATGATTAAAAAAGAAGAAGCAAAACTAATAACAAGGGTAGGGGAGAGGAGGGAGAGAAGGAATAGATTGTCTACCATTTTGTTATTCTCAGTTTCAACTGATTGAGCATTTGTGGATGTTTCAGGCATTGACATATTCCTTGAGTAGTTTTTGAATGGTTCTGAGTTTGAGTTTTTGCGTATGAAGTTCTTGCCAGATGTGATGGTTTTCACATTTCCACCAAATTTCCAAGACCCATTGCCACCTGTTTGTTTCCACTCACTGTAGGATTTGAGTGCTAGAATACAATTCACGATTTTAGATGATTTGCCTCCCTGAAATTTTGTACAAGATTGACAGTGTCATGAGCAAGCATATACTTGAAATGTAATCTCATATCAATTCCCAGAAAGAAAACCTACCTGTTCCAAGTCAGATGGTTCAAAGGTAGGGAGTCCCATTTGTCCTACAGCCACCAGAAAGTTTCTCACGTTTTCAAAACACTGATATATAGATAAAGCTGCTCCATCAGGCACAGCAACTGAATCACATGGACTTTCAACCACCTGTAATGATCAAGCTTGGTATCAACTTCAAGAATCATAGAAGATGAAATTATCATGGAATGGTTATGAAGACGCAAACGGAGAATGACCTTAGGCACAGCTCCTGGATCAACCTTATTGATCACCAAACATAGAAGTAGTCCACTTCTTAAAGCAAGCCTAAATTCTTCCTCAGAAGGCTGTGCAGGCAACTCTCTTGCCCCAACAACTCCAATCATTTTTCTCAGCCAAGCAGCGGCTTCATACCTTCTCGTTGCTGTAATCCAAAGGTGAAGTCGTTAGTAGCCAATTTTTCAAAATTAAATGTAATACATTGGAATTCGCAATCGTTAGAAATCAGATCCTAGATAATGTTTAGGATGAGATCACTTAGGTCCTAAGCTACAATCTACTCCACCCCTGATTGTGTGCTCAAATTCAAAAATAAATTGATCTAGTATTTTTTTTACCTAAATTCTCTTTCATACAAGCATTATGTAATTTCGAAAACATATTTACGTCTGGTTTATTCACAAAAAAATTACGTGAAGAACCAGAATTCAGAATTAACACGATCAAGAATTTAGTTGCAGGAAGAAAAAAAAAAGATAGGTTACACATACCAGCCTCCTCAGCTCTACGAGAATCCAAATCCAGATCTCGAGGTCGATTATCATGCTGTTGAAGAACATCTTCCATCACAGATGCTACCGAAAACGACAATGGACCCTCGGCTGCCATCCTCAAGCGACTTCAGTTTTCAAAATTCAATCCAGCGACATCAAATTGTGTCTTAAACGACCGAAATTGGAGCAGATAGGCTTGTTGAATTCAGTAGAACTGGTAGGGTTTAGCAGCGAAGATCGGAATGGAACAAAAAAGATAGACAAATCATGTGTATATAAATTATATATAAAGTGTTACAGAGAGAGATGGAGATAGAGAGAAGAAAATGGTGGGGTTGTGAAGCTTGCTTGCTCTCTAATACAGAGCTACAACAACATTCGCCATTTTTGCTTTTTCTCGCTGTCTCTCTGCTTTATACGCAGATGCTTCTTGCTAAAAATATTTTTCATTTCGCTTTGAATACAAACCCGCTTATTCCCGTACCTCGTTCCGAGCCTCATGGCCTGATTCCTAACTTAAATCTTACAAACCTGGTCCAGCCGTCCTAAACCACTTAATAATTAAAACTTAATACTATTGAACAAAAATATATTTTTGAAATGCCATAAAAATATCACAATACGTAATGATATTTAATAATAATAATAATAATAATAATAATAATAATAATAATAATAAGAGAGAGACCAACTTTTGGTACTAGCTTGCAATGGAGATGTTAAACGTGAAATACCAAAAGTGGTCATCAACCATTTAAGGTGCTTTTTCTTGATCTTTTACCATTATATTTTCAATTTCCATCTCGGGGACTTTTTCAAACTCAATCCCCTATAAATTACATTTCACGTATCAAATTAACCAAAAAAAAAATTACTTAATAGATTCAAACACAATCCTGACATATCTTTTTATTTTGTATATATTTTGTTGATATATGTTATGTTGGCCTTAAAATCAAATGTTGCTTGAATACCAAGTTTGAATCACAACAAGATTCGACTTATATATGAGCTTGAAGTGTTAGAACATCATATTTCCATCTTGTCGCGGTTGATAAATTGACTAATGTCATTAGTCGGATTTAATTTGGTCCATATTGTTGGATAGTTTGTCACCTTCATGAATCATTTGTTTCTTGTAGCATTGAGGATATTTATGGCGATCTAAATTTGTTCAATCTCAATATAACAATCAATCCTTATTGTCGTTCTATATGTCCCTACTCCTATTCTCTTGAATCTATGGTTAAGTAGAAAATTAACCAATAAGATGAAATATATCTCCAAACACATCAGTAAGCTTCGAAAATCCAGTATGATGATTAATTCACTTTTACTAAGATGATAAATAATATCAAGGTAAATTTTGTTTTGATATTCTAATACATCTAGCATGGTCACTCTTAAAACTAACTACATTAATCAATTTCACAATCAAGAGGTTATGTTTTAATTGATCGACCATATATATACAATCTCATGTTGATACGTTAAACAATAAGAAAAAGGAACGAAGAAAAGTAGGGACTCAAGAATTCAAATATGATAATCGAGAACTAAAGATCATCAAATGAAGAGTATAGATTTTGAATGAAAGTGATAACTGATGAGTTACTTAAATGAAGATATATAGGTTCTTACCAGGTTTGTAAGTATAACACTTGCCTTTTGTTGTCACATGTATTCTAAGATCTAGAGCATGGTGTCTCAGGTGTGTTACAAGGTATGACAGTGTTAATAGAATACGCAAATTTGGTGGAATAACAATTTATACGAAATGTAATTTTTTTAAGATATATTAAAAACGATGTCAATGGGGCCTAACTGGACGGGGGAAACCTCCTACAACCCACGCCCCAGAATCCTTCATTCCCCTCCCTCAAAATCCCCCATCACCCTAGCTCCTTTGTTTGCCCATAATCTTATCTTTATCTTGTTTTCCAGAAATCTACAGCGACTCATTAAAACGTCATTTACACATATTTTCTCTCATTTATCCGGTTTAATATTATATATTATATTAATTATTCAAAAGACAAAACAATTATTATGCTATGGTTACAATTTAATTAATATTTTTATTTTATAAGAGCACTTTTAATGGTTAAGTTATACTAAGACTTAAAACTATTCTCACATCATTATTTCAATAACTTTAACCACTAAATAAATAACTCCTCTAACCTCTTCCAATAACTTTTTTAATAAAAATTTAACTAATTAATTCATATCTATCTCAAATGTTCTATAAAACCCCTTATTTAATTATTTATCATTTTAAGCATGCATGATATTTTAATTTATTAAAAATATTACAAAATATTTTTTCAAAAGAAATATACTACAAAATATCGTTTGGAAAAAATAATAGGAAAAAACTATTATGGAATAGTCGTAAAAAGATTGAAAAAAATTATATAATCATTATAACTTTGTAGTTCTTAAATGAAACGTCATTAAATATTTAATAGAAATAATTAATTAGTAAATAAATAAAAAATATTTAAAACTAAAATATGTTAAAAGATAAAATGAAATATAGTCAAAGTATGAAGGGGTTAAATGATAACATATAGAAGTATATTGATGACTCAATATATATTGAGTGGTCAATAAAAAAAACAAATAAGTGGTAAGCTCCAATGGTAATAAATGTTTAGTAAAAAAAACCTATAGTAATAAACTTTGGAAAAAGTTCCTCTCTATTTTAATAAATGAATAGTTTTAACGTGTCATTTTAATAAAATTCCTCATTAATATTATGTCATGTGTCATAGATATATTAGAAAACTCATTTCAAAATTCAAATTTACATTTTCTAATAATATATTAAATTTGAAGTTATAATAATTTTAAAATTTTGATATATTTCTTAATTAATAATTTATTTAAATTGACTTATTTAAAATAATTGATTAATAATTATAAATTTTTATTATAAAAGTTTAATTAATTTTATGGTCGTGGTTCCACGAGTTATAAACTAGTTAGATAATAGATGTTTATTTTGGAAGCTCGTCGGCTACAAGGTTTTCGATTATTATCGTCGTCCCTAAAAAACTAAACATAGGTAAAACTCTTGCGCCCCTTAACTTGAAAACTTTTTAAAGTATTTAAATCAATCTATAATTACACATCTTCAGAATCTCTAACACCATTTGTGTCTATTGTTTGAACATGCCTTATATATTTTCATTATAATTACATACACTCTAACTATTTCTTCCAATAAAAAAAAGTTATTAAGTAAACTAAAGTGGCCAAGAAGCATCAATTGTTTATAATATGTTGGTAACTTTATAGGGTTAGTTTGGTCCCTTGTCATGTCGAGAGACGAGAATCCTAAGAGAAGTCAAAAAGGCTTGTAGATTATATGGTCTTTTCAGTTTCACCACACTCACCCCATGTTAATTTTTTAAAGATGTGTCGTTAAATATTTTTAGTCCAATCATCTTAAATATATCATCCTTTACATATTTTTAGTCCAATCATCAATTCATAAAAAATCATAATTCATCATTTTTGTGTTGTTACTATTATTACACTTATTTAATTCATACAAAATAAAGTTATCATTACATTATCATTATTAGACATTAGTGATGTTTCTTATTTACGTTAATATATTTATATAGTTAAAATTATAAAAAATATATATCACTAAAAATATATAAGTTATTGTAATCAACTATGAAATTACATTTTTTCTAAACTAAATTAAAATGTTAATGTAAAACATTATCATTATTTGAAACAATGTAATAACATAGACAACTATTAAAGTTAATGTTTAATCGTTATAGTAATTAATGGTTGAAGATGTGATGAATAATAAAATCTATATATCTTTTTAACTTATAATATAATTTTATTCTTATATTCAAATAAAATAAGAAAAAAATATCAAAGTTCTTAATAACTTTTACATTGATTATTGAGAGTGGATGAATAAGAAATTTCAAATTAGTATTATAAAAATACTATTGAACTTAAACCATATTACTTTGGCAACTTCTTATAAAATAATATAGAATTAATGGGCTGTTTGGCAGGATCTGAATATTTAAGATCTGGATTTTTAAGAGGTCTGAATTTTTAAGAGGGTCTGAATTTTTATGATCTGAATTTAAAATGTTGTTTGGTTGGAACCTCTGAATTGTTGTACTAAATAATAAAAATGACCATTTTACCCTTCTATATTATTTTTTTTACTGATTTCAATATTTTCATTTTAAAAAAATAACTAATCCAACTCTCTAAATAATTATAATATATTACATCAAAGGAAAAAAAAAGCTCAAAAGTAGACTCTCTCGATTCCAACAACATCAAAAGTTCAATATATATTGCATCAAAGGAAAAAAGGCTCAAAATTAGACCATCGATGTTTACACAATAGCTCTTATTTCACCTGAGTGCAAATAAATAGAAATACATACATTTTTCCATTCGACTCTATCTTCTAGCTTCTCAGCATCCAGTTCATGAATTTGACATTCGATAAAAATCACAATGCTTCACCTTCATTAGTAAAAAACTTAACATATTGTTTACCAGAAGATTTTGCATTCTAGCACCACTTAAAATATTGTTGACGAGAAGAATCAATCAAAGAGAAATGTCGATTCTTTCATCAAACCCACAGTAAAAAAAGAAGAAATGATATCAATCAACATCATGGATCAAGTTCAAAGAGATTGGCCCAATTCCTTTAATACCATGTGAATTTCTTGAAATTAAAAATCATAACTCGTGCTTACAATTTGATTAAGAAATTTGTTTTCAGAAATTAACGCTAGTATAAAGTCAATTTCAGATACACAACAATTACCCGATGCTGTTGTCGACAAGTTTGACGGGGCTAACTGTGGCAGTGACCGGCAAGCCGGTGACGACGTCGTCACTGGCAGAGGGAGGCAGATCAGGGGGTGGGGGAGGAGAAGGGGTCGGTGGTGTTAACGGCGCATGCGACGATGTCCTGCTACGACGATGGTGTGTGCGGCGTTGCGTGGGACGACGACGGTGGTCCTCTGTGAGGTCCGACGAGATGCAGGGGAGAGATGGTCGGAGGTTTTTTGATGGTCACAGGAAAATAAAGAAGAGGATAAGAGGGTAGGGATTGGAAAAGATAAAGATAGGGCGTGCTCTTTTTTTCAGACTTGATTTTCCATCTGATTCGGTCAGACATTTTTATCCAATTAAGAGGCTAACTTAAGTGCTAAACAAACGCTCTGAATTTATAAGATTCAGAGGTGTCTCTTTTTAAGAGACATTAAGAGCCAAACAAACAGGCCCTAACATTTATATACATAAAATAATATAAAGTAATGTAAATGGTATTTGTGGTGATTAATTTAATATCTTAAACAATGATGCTTAGAATTTCAAATGGATCAGTTGGATGCCTTGTAACACTTGGATTTTGGTATGTTCCTTTTAGCCCCTTCTATATTTAATTGTTGCATCTTTGGTCCTTAGAGTAGTACGCGGGGCGTACTACATGGTACACTT